ACAAATGCTGCCAATCACAAATTTTGTACGATAAAGTGTTAAAGTGGTTGAGATAATCGTGCCATTATCTACTTTAGTCGTCTTTAGGTAACGAAAAATTAATTTTTAAAGCACCACAATATGGTGGTCGATTTGATGAGACTCAGTGTGCTAAATTGGTGCCATTTTCGGCCTCTTGCTTAAATGCACGGAGAAAGACATCAGGTTGATCTTTTCTTTCCAGGCGTGCAGAACTTCTATTGGGTTGTAGGGATCAGCTGAAACCACATACTTGGGTGGTTTCTTGCATCGTTTCGGCACTTCTTCTGACTCCAAATTTTTGACCTAATGTAAAAAGAAACATCACAAACTACATTCCCTAGCCAAATTACAGAATAGTATCGCATGCATAAGAGGTATAGCTAAATTGGTCCCAAGTGTAGGCACTTGGCTCAAATTGTGTGGGACGCTCTTCATTTTAGTAACCTTTGAACTAATTACATAGCGGAGTTCATCTACCAAAGTGATTCTCAATCCTTCGTACAAACAGTCGCGATGCGGAGAAGCATGTAGTGTTATTAGTTACAAGCGTGGAAATGAATATCCAGTTGCATTTATATTTACTGCAATCAAAAACAAGTTGTTTCACTAACAAATCCTGTCTACGGAGTGTGCAATCTGCAGTGGCAGGTCTAGGTGGAGAAATAAATGAATACATTCTGGAGTACACCATTTCCCATAGTAATTGTAGACCACCTCCTCTCAACATGCTGACCAAAAGGTTCCTTTTTTCAAGAACGATTGAGGTTGTTTTTGAATGTTTTTAATGGATGTATCTCCCTTGCACAAGTCTGTTGGCTCATTGACATAGCTAGCGACTTCAGAGGTGAAAACTTGACTGCTCATTCTTCATTCAGTTTCAGCAAAACAGAGAGTAGTGAAAAAATCTTCACGATTAATCACCCCATAGTTGTTTCTAATTTTTTGCTAACCATTGCCACAGCATTCTCTAGATCTCACCAGTGCTCAAACATATAGCGTTAAAAGCTCGCTCTTGGAAAGCACAGTAAAGTCGACCTGTATTTACTGTGTTTATTATTTTCCCTTTATTTTTTTATTTTGTTGCTCCTACACCAAAGGCTGGAAGAAATAATTTGATGAGCTCTCTGTCTAATCTCTGTTTCCTGTTGTGTTTACAAACACCTGACATTGTCAAATTTAGGCAAATTCGATAACTAACTGGAGCTCATGTGCAGTCGAATTATTCTTCAAGTCAATTACCTCTGGTCCCGTTTTTTGAAGGTGACACTCCCGTAACGACTTTATGCAACGAATTTTGCTTGCATCGACTAACACAAATTGGATTGACCGGCTTATCAGTCCGTTCTTGGGCCTCCTGCACTGTTAGATTTTTTGACATTTTGGAATTAATCATCAATTCGCATTGTCTGTCGCTGGTGCTTTTTGTTGGAAAAGTGACTGCTCTTTTGTTTCTGCAATCGGTTCACTTGGCTTTGACTCTAACTTTACAATAAAACTAAACAAAACACAAAACAACAAATCCATAATCACTTTGAAAATGCTTATTTGGCGATTGTATATATAACGAGTCTGGAAATAGCCAGCAGTTTTGCCATCTTTTAAATTTGCTTAAGTAGCCCTGTTGATTTGCAAGATTTTAGTCAAACTAACATTCCCACTTTTCTGGGTGTGGGGAGATGTGCCCTCAATATGTGATTGTAGCTGGTCAACTTCCTTGGTTTGGTTCACTGCACTTAAATTAGGCATATCATGCGCTATTCATCAGGAATAGACCTCTGGTAGGCTCTCGGTTGGCATTTGTTCAGTTCACAGACCAAAACATTTACCTACCCCTCAAGCTAAATCAAACGAGGAAAAGGAGTCATATCCTGTTTCTACAAGCCCATCATGGTAGATCTTGTTAACACACCTCAGAGTGCTCTTTTCTCAATCCGTTACCTTCTTAATACGCTTTGTTAGGCATTAATATGGCACGTTTGGGCACTCAGTAAGGTCTTGAACCTTTTCCATAAATTATGCCGTCTGTCACTGGCGTCTGGCTCGGATGCGTTAACTTTTCCCAAGTGTCGTGAACACGTGGAAAAGACCTACGTAATCGTGACACCCAGCCATGATGTTAAAGGGTACCTCCAGTAAAGCTATATGCATTGCTTCTGGAAGCCGCTGTTAAAGTTATTATAAGATTTCCATGCTTCTCAAACTGCTCATAATTCACAAATCCATTTATATTTGTAGCCAATTCATCTTATGGTAACATTTGGTGCATATTTTCAGTGCTTTCTGATAATCATGGGCCAGTGTTTGCAAGCTAAGCACTTTATTCTGTAAATTAATGCTGGGCAACGACATCAACTTGTTGTCCGATGATTTTATGTCACAGCACGCATTGGTTCTTCCAGTAGTGGCAAACGATGTTGGTGATTGAAGCCCTACTCTTTACTAATCTCTGTTCGTCAGCTTGAATGCATCCTTCATAGCAAACAAACCCTAAAAGAATAGAACGAAAAATTGGTCGATTGGACTGCACTTGATCCATTTTGTACTGATCACCTTAACTCCTTTGATCATTGTTTAAAAACTACCGATACACCCCCTTTTCATGGGTAAGCGACTCTGTATTTTCTTCTTTCAGGCCAGCGGAAAGTCCGTTTTTCGTTTCGGTTTTTTTCTCGGTATTTTCCTCTCTGAAATATTGTGCATAATTCTAGTCGGTGAGTTCTGCGATCCATTTGTGTGCTAAACCAGTTTAATTGCTTGTTTAGGTATTCCGGATGTAGCACATCATCAGACGCATTTTTCCTGGTGCGCATGCCATTTTAATCTGTACTTTGTGAACTTTCACCTAACTTTAGGCATTACCCATTTTCCATGTTTTTGAAGCCGATTTTTTAATCGTCCTTACACTGCGACTGCGAATTTAATTTGAGACTCTTAAATCAAGGCTATTGTTTGTTTCCCCCATAATACGACTGATCGGATCCTGTCGATGTCTGGGTTGATATGACACTACCGTCCTGCAGTTGGTGGTTTACGATCTATTCCCTCTTCTCTCTCATGCACGATAAAATGCAGTATTACGTTTTCCTAATGAAAAATTGTGATGAAATTCTTGGTTTTGGTGTGGTAGATAAATTTCAACCATCTGCGCTTTGCTGACGTTTGCGTCTATCTTTCATTCACACATATAATCAAAGCTCCGAAGGTAGCTATACGTGTAAGATTTGGCTCGGGTGCAGTTTCCGATGCCTTACTGCAGAAAATACTACATCCTCATTTCACCTAGTTTGTTAGCACCCTCCTCGCCTTTTTCTTCGCCAATTTCTTTCCCTTCAGTCGCATGTTAGTGATGTACGTAAATATTTTTCACTCACAATTTCTGGTAATTAGTTTTGTCCATTGTCTCTTGAATGGTTAGAAGAGAGTGA